ACAAAAAAAAAAAAAAAAGAAGGAAAGAAACAGCTTTTCTTTCTTGCACCATTAATATGAGTTACATCCCCAAATTAATATGCTCTACTTTGCATGCACTCATCAACCATTTTTTTTAATTGAAGTATATTAATCACCTTAAAATTATATCAAGTATCTTCAGAAAAACATTTATTTGATGATAATACTTGGAATAATAATGGTTGTAATTTTACCCCCTAAGGTTCATCATCAAAAGGTAAGAGGCTATCTAAAAACTCGGCAGGGGTAGTGTAGTGCAAGCAAGCTCTATTAGTTGATATTTTTATTATTTGTAATTAATTATTATTTTTTAAGAAAATAAATATAAAAAATATTAATCAAACATAGTTTCAATAAATAAAATGAGTAGATAATCCAATTGGTAGAGATATCTAAGATTTAAAATAATTAAAAATTTATATTTTATAATTAAAATTTAATAAAAATATTATATTTATTAATAAAATAAGTTAAGGAAACCCAACAAAATTCATATCCGACATAAAAAGAGCTATGTCCACCTCGGGCCAGGACACCACTGCATTCCGATCCCCTTTTACGAGGAAAGGAAATGAAATAATAATAAAAAAAAGCTTTTTACCACATTAATTAATTATTTCAAGAAAAATAATGAAAAAAATTCGGAATAATATTTTAAAAAAATAACTAAATTATAAAAAAGATTTAAATAAGTTTTTAGATTTTTATTACTTTCAATTAAGTACTTATATTTTTATTTTGAACTAAATATATTTTTATATTTTTATTTTAAGTCAAATAAATTTTTATAATTAATGATTAATTTAATCAAATTGTTATTTATTATTTTATATCATGTGACATTGATGTGACATACTAACATATCATAATTATTCATGATATATTATATTGACATATTATAATTGATGATGACGTAACATGTTAATATGACATGATAATATGATTATATGATATTTTTTATCTTTCATATTAACATCATGTCAATAGTACATGAATATAATAAAATTATTATTTCAATTAACTCAATCACATATTTATTTACATATGTTAAATAAATACAATATAAACTAGCTCAATCAAATAATTTTGTAAAAAATTATTTTTTATTTATATTCACATAAACAATAGCCTTTGAGGATCTCTTTGAAAAGCACCATATTTATTTATCCTGACCCATTTTTCATTTGGTCTTGTCCACTTGTCCTTGTGTTTACTCTTCTATATTTATCTTCCTTCCTTTATTATTTCCGCCTTATTTGTACCGTAGCTCCTTTGGATTCTCTTATTGTTGTCATCACGCCTGGACTCTTGCTGTTCACACTAACTTCGTTCCTAGTATTAAAAATGTTCCAACGTGTAAAAGCAATGGCTAGAGATAACTTTACTTTGTGCTCCCCAGTCAAATTCTTCCTATCCGGAACCTCTAGCAGCCGTCTATCAAAGGTTGTTGCCACCCTATGATTCACTTTGTCGCATAATTTATTTCTAAATTGTTGGCATATTTTTAAAATAAAAAATTATATTTTTAATTAAAAAATTATCTTTTTATATTGTGTTTTATAAAATAAATTATTATTCTTTCATAAGATAATTATTGAAATAATATTTTTATTCAAAAATTATGTTTCGTAAAATGTAAAGATGTCTTTTAGATAAAGAGATACATTGATGAAAGAGTTGTGTCTTTGAGATGAGATACTTGCAAGTCTATATAAATGATTTGTTACCAACTATTTTAATACACTAAAAACAAATACAACAAGAGCAGAAACATTAAAGAGATAGAAGTGTTATGCTCCGAAAATAAATATAAACACTTAAGTTCTTATCATCTATTAAAAAAATCTAAATGCGAAATCTCATCTTAACTAAGAGGATAAATTCAGAAATCTTTTGATGAGCATGTAGATTACACATTTTGAATATCAAATTTAGTTTTAATCTTTAAAAGAATTCATTTATACTTTTGATTGTTTGCCACTTTTAAAGCAAAAAATTTTTTAAATTTGAAAAGGGTCAAAATATATGATTTTTATAGAACAATCTCTTTGAAATAAAAAATGATGATAATGATTGTTCTATAACAATCTTTTCTTTTGGAGGGTTCTATAAAAATCACACAATTTTCTAAGTCTTCTTCAAAAGTGGCAAACAACCAAAAGTGTAAATGAATTCTTTTGAAAGTTAAAACTAAGTTGGATGTTCAAAATATGTAATCTATGTGCTCATCTAAGGATTTCCTAACTTATCCTCCTACTCAATGTGAGATTTTACATCAAATTCTTAATTTACTTACTACAGAAAGTAGGCTTTAAGGTCAAATAATTTTACAAATCTTCGGGTGTATCTAGCAGTCTATCCTTGTAAAGTGCAAGAAAGGTTAGGCGTTAGCTTTATTGTTTCTCAATTTGCACTATTCCTCTTTGCATACCCAGTGGTGGGACTAAAATAAGGTTTAAAGACTTTCCTTGAAGTTAGGTTTACTGGTTCCTTGAATTCCATCTAAATCCTATTTGCACCAACAATTTTAAGACTTATCTTTTATGTTATTGAAATTTAAAATAACTTCACTAAAAGAGATGGCTATTAACATAGTCAAGCCAGATTGCTTTAAAGAAGAATCTATTAACGACAATCATTTGTGGCAAAATGGGGTTTCATCTGATTATAAGATAAGTTTTCTTTCTTCACTTTATACGAATGATATTTTATGTAATATGCATAGTAAAGCTATTAAATATGAATAAAGTTATTGTGGTGTCTTTTATAATTGATAAACTTTCCCCTCTCATGGAAAGACATTAAAACACTTTTAAAATATAAGAAATAATAAATGTCTCTTGAGGACCTTGGTAATCATCTTTGAATGGAAGAAAATTCTTACAAACAAGAAGAAGTCTAGCAAGATGAAAGAAAAGGATTCTAATGGAAAGAATTAATCTTGAGACTTCCAAGGTTCATGTAATGGAACACAAACCATCAAGTAAGTCGGTTTCGTACAATAAAAGAAAAAATTTTATTGATATGAATGACAAAAGTCACAAGATCAAAAGAAACGAAAAGGATTCATGTTTCCATTGTAACAAACTTGGACACTTCAAAGTGAAATATAAACTTTCAAAATACAAAACACAAGATGTGAACAACAATAAGTTTGTTGTTATGATTTCCAAAGTCAATATTCTCCAAGATGATGGAGAATGGTGGATTGACGTTGGTCTAACTAAACATGTATGTAAGGACAAGAGTTTCTTCAAGTCTTTAGAAGCGATTAATGATGAAACTATGTCATATGTGGGAAATTCCTCCACTATAAAAGTGAAAGGAAAAGGCACCATAGAACTCATATTTATTTTTGAAAAAGTACTTGGTACTAAAAAATATCTATTATATACTGAAAGTTAGAAAGAACCTTGTGTCAAGTAACTTGTAGAATAAATATGATTTTAAATTAGCATTTGACGTGGATAAGTTCATTCTTACAAAAGGTGGACAATATGTGTGAAGTGGATACTTAAGTGAAGACTTGTTCAAGCTTATTATTAATAAGAATGTTACTAGTTCTACTTACATTGATGTCTCATTTAATGTTCATGATACTAAAGTAGCATTTTCTAATCTATGGCATAATAGATTACGTCATGTCCATTATAGAAGAATGCATAATATGGCTAAATTAGAGTTAATAGCTAATATTGATGAAAATAATGATATGTGCAAGACACGCATGGTTACTGAAATCATTAGAAGTTCATTTCCTAAGGTAAAAAAAAAAAAACTCCAAATTGCTTGCATTAATACATTTCGATGTTTATGACATGCATAGTACTCCATCTATTGGTGAAAAGAAATACTTTATAACATTTATAAATTACTTCTCTTGATATTGCTATGTTTACATATTACATGCTATAAATATGAAAAAATAAAAAAGTTTAGAATGTATGAAAATAAAATTGAATTGTATAATGAATTGCTTATCCAATGCTTACGAAGTGATAGAAGAGGTAAATATTCTGATTCCAAGTATTTTGAGTCCACTGGTATCACTCATGAGATTATCGCTCCATATGCACTAGAACAAAATGATGTAGTGGAATATAAGAGTTGAGTTCGTATGAAAATAGTCAAATGCTTTACTTTCTAATTTGGGTTTAGAAAAAAGATTTTAGATTTGTTATATACTAAATAGAATCTCAAACTAAAAGAGTAAAATTAGTCCTCGTGAGATATCGAAAGGAAGAAGCTAAACCTTAATTGTTTAAGATTTTGAAGATGTAGAGCCATAATCAACGTTCTAAAACCAAAGAACAAAAATTGGATGAAAAAGAAATTGAATGCATATTCATAAGATATGTTAAACATTGTAAAGCATATCGTTTGATGGTTATAGAACCCAATAATTCATATTCCATTAATACGGTTATAGAATCAAGAGACACTATCTTTAATGAAATAAGGTTCAATTCAATTCCAAGATCCAAAAACTAGTAATGGAGAGTAATAAACTTTCAAAAAATAGTGAAAAAACTATTGAACTTCGAAGAAGCAAAAGAGTTAGAAAAGCAAAGACATATGGATTCGATTTCCTCATGTACTTGGTAAAAAGTACAAGAGAAAAAACATGTAAATACTTATCTTATTGCTTTAATGTAGAAGGTGAAAGTAATCTTAAAACTTATGAAGAGACAATAAGGTCTCAAGATGCTTTCTTTTAGAGAGAAAAAAAAAAGATCGAAAGAAGTAAATTACAATATAAAAGAAAGCAAGAAATCCTCTCGCTTAAACCCACCAATTACCATTGAAAATTAAGAAACCAGATCATATAAATCAAATACTTGCCAAACACTTTAATTACAGAACGTGATAACAAACAAGACAACCACACAAGACAGGAGAAATACAAAATAACAATACCAGAAACCCAAGACAGAAGTAAATAATAAATAACACTGACGAAAATAAAAGGAAAACATCAAGGGGTATGGCTGCAACTTCCCATTGTAGATCTTTCCAGCATTCTTCCTTGCCACTTTTGTTTTTGACATGCATGCAGCTATCATCAAACAAACAGATCAGGTTATCATTTTTCTCAGCATGGACCTGCCCAAGCCTAAAGAATAAGAAGACATGTGGATTATAATTATTAGAGAATTGAAGAAATGTCATTAGTACATCATTAGTAGTTCTATAGTTAGTCCCAAAAATAGCATGTAAGCCGTAACCATGATTTTGATGGTTACTAAGTCATTCCAAGTTGCCATACCAAGTGAATCGAGATTGCAAGCCAAAATTTTGAATATTCATCAATTCAAAAGGTGTCCTTTTCTTCTATAACATAAGACATATCAGAAATTGCAATTCATGTCAGATAGTCTTGCATGATAATTAAAGAGGATTAGCCTTAAACAGTAGATCAGCTGTATAACACTAATGTATCAATTATTCAGTATTAAAGTTCAGTATAAAGAGCATTATTAGTCTCCTATGTCAATTATGTACAACAGAGCAGGCAAAACTTTCATAAATCCTAGCTCCAAAGTGTGTTTTCCTAGGTAGTTTAAAACTATGTTTCATTCCTTCTCCAAAAGGCTACTCACAACGTCAGAATATAAGAATCTTCATGATTAACTTTTTGCCTGGAAAGAGCAGAGCATGAAAGAAAACAATTCTCCGTAGAATTAGTTATAGAGAGGTTATTCATTCATATCATGCCCCAGAAGATCCCCCAACTCCTTAGGTAGTATCCAAAATTACCTTTCCTGGAGCTACCAAGTATCTTATATTGGCCAGCAAGTCCACAAATCTGTTCTCTTCCTAGTATGCCTCACCTCAATAAATCCAACTTCTGCTATCAGACACCCATAATTTTCTAAAACTTGCTCTAACTAAACAACATTCCCCACCCCATCGCTCGCAAAATCAGGCAGTCTTGGTACCTAGCTCCACATACACAAGCAACATACCTAGAGCACACACCAGCAGCAAGCCCTCCTTCGGCACTCACACCTCTGCCAACAGGCTGCTAGTCACACCATCATTATCCATGATGGATTTGAATTACCTTAGTTGACAGTGTCAAAATTAAACCTCCAACACTAGCTGGCCCTAGACCATTTTTCCCTGCGCCACCAGTATTTAACTTAAATAAATTCTCGGGAGATGGCAAGCATGAAATCTAATGAACCTGGTCATCACTCTCATTTTTGGGAACACTTACCAATCCTTGCCTTCAAAAGATACAGAAGGATGGGTGACAAAGATTGAAGTACAAAAAACATCCCACACCACAATTAACTTACTGGTAAAGTCATATTTCAGGCAATCCTAAAAGGTCAGAGAAGCAACAGAACAGAACACGTTTCCCAGAACAGACTCCCTCAAAATTTCTGCAGCTCATTAGCATCCTCTTTAAGTATATGGTTAAATCTTCAACCCCCTCCCTATGAAGTGAACTTGACAAATCAAGGACATATTCCTTCTACACTTCTCTTAATTGGTTCTCACTGATCACACTCTTCTGCATGTATCAGAAAATAAAAAAGCCAAAGTATTTAATAAAACATTTTTGACAGAGGCTCAAATTATTCAACATGAAGCTTCATTTACAAACTCTGCCACCCTCTCATCCTAATTTACAACAGCTTCCTCATTCACCGTCTTTATCAGTAGGCCCTGTTGCACACCCATCAATCTCACCAAGCAGAAAACCCAAAGATAGGAGGCCTTGATAATTAGAGAATCTGTTCTACCTTGGTTCTTTAAAAAATTTTCCATTTTTATTAGTTCAATATGTATCTTCTAGCAGACAACGCAAATGTGAAAATTTTCAACCTTCATTCTAGTTGTTAAGTAGTATTAAAGATTGTTTAAACTTTAATACTTAGTGAAGGAAAAGAGTAAAAAGTAGAAGAAAATAATTCTTTTGTAAGAGGAATATGATAGTTGATGAATAAATAAGTCAATATATCAAAACACAGCCCAAAAATGGCAAGCAATTTCACAGTAGAAAGAAAGGAACATTGCAAGAATTGACTATAAAAAAGAGTGAAGAAATTCTGATATTGCAAGATAATGCGTAATAAAAGAGAAAATTAAAAGGAACATTATCTTCTAAATATCACACACCTTTGCATTCTTTACGATTTCTGCATTTCATCATTGAAGAGACTTAAAAGAGGGTAAAAAAGCATTTTGAGTGGTATCATCCATCCATCTAACCTCTTTCCACCACTCTTCATTTTGATGATTTGATTTCTGCAGTTCTGGGCAGCGAATTACTGTGATTTCTCTCAAACATGGGAAGGGTATGGCTCCCCAGTATATGCTCTTCAGTATTGGTAGTTCTTCCAAATGAAGCGTCCGGAGCTTTGCATATGGAGGCAGGTATGGACTTTCAAGCATATCTGCACATTCACCCAATTTTCCTTCACTCATTATTTCCTCCATATTTGTGCAATACCCTACCGATAAAGACCGTAGATGTGGAGCAAAAATAAGCCAGGTCATGTCCCTCAATTTTGGGCATCTGTAAATAGAAACCGTGCTCAGTGTGGGAAAGCAACGAATATTAGTTGAAAATCCTCCTTCCTGTTCCCTTTCTATTGACTTCAGCACCATCATCTCTTGCAAATGGTCACATTTGTGAACATCTAGTCTCTCTAGATGCTCCATATTTGCTAAAGCTAAAACATTCAATGACTTTGACTCTCTAAAATCACTAAGAAGTAACTCTTCAGTGCAGCCTAGTATGGTTTGGATGCTCAACAATCTTTCAAGAGCTGAAACACTTTTTACTTCTATACTCAGCAGATTCAAATGATGCAAACACCCCAATTCCTCTAATAGACCTTCATTACCATCCTTCTGCAGGAGATTGTCTTCTTCCATGTCATCTGAATAATAAGCAACACATAAAACCATTCTAAATACTTGCAGGCTTGGAAAACTGGATATCAATCCTCGTGGGATTCTTTTGAGATTCAACATGCTACTCAAGTTCAAATGTTTTAAAGTTTTTGAACTCTTGAGCTCAATTGGCAACTCTGTTATACCTGTCCTTGATAGATCAAGCAATTCAAGAGAAACCAATTTTGAAATTCCCTCTGGCAATTTTCTTAAACCCCTATTGTCTGACAAGTTCAGAACTCTGAGAGTAGACATAAATTGGAAGAAGTCATTCCCAATTACCTGCAAATAATTTTTGTTGAGAAATAAAGTTTGAAGAGTAGGGCATGTTGGTGTTGATGATAGTTCTTTAATTCCATTTTGCATCAAGGAAATTCTTCTTACACCTTTCCATGTTTCAACCTCTGGCGCAGCCTCTAATCCAACACCTGCTCGAACAAAAAATCTCTTTTCGCTTGCTTCATACTGGTATGCTATCCATAATGCCATGTCACGGATTACATCATGCATCTTCACAAATTTTTCTCCGTCTTCGTTTAATAAACAAGCATCAACAAGAACACCAATAATGTAGTATCCTCGCATTCGAGCACTGCTTATGCTATCAGATTCATCCAAAAGCCCCTCACAAAACCAATAATCTATTAATGTTGCTTTGGAAATAGCATAATCTTGAGGATACAGACTACAATACAAGAGGCAAGACCTCAATGAGTCGGAAGGCAAGCTGTCATAACTGAATTTTAAAAGAGGAAACGGCCCTTCTCCCAATCTTGCAAATTTATGCGGAGATCTCCTTAATACCTCAAGTGCGTATCTCCATTCCTCGGGTGACTTCTTGCAAGCCATGGCTCGACCAATTGTAATTAGTGCAAGAGGCAGCCCACCACACCCTGCAGCCACCTCTTTAGCCAGCATTCGAATTAATGGATGGCTATCGAGGGTTTCTTCTCCAACCTTCTCTTGAAACAATTTCCAAGCTTGATCCATTGCTAAGCACTCCACTTTGATATTCTTTTGAGCATTCATCTTCTTACATACATCTAAACGACGAGTCGTAAAAACTACTTTTGATCCATTTTCTTCCGTCGGCAAAGGTATCCCTATTTTGATCAAATCCAACCGTTCCCATAAATCATCTAACAATAACACAAACTTCTTTCCTCTCAGAACTCCGAAGATATCTACAGCTTTCTCGTCAAAATGTTTATACTCCCATGAGTGCTCACTTGAAAGGCCTATCCTTTCACCAATTTGTTTCTGAACCTTTTCGACGGAGTGATCGGCAGATACCCACACCCAAATTACAACATCATAACCAATCGTGTAGACCCTGTTGTTAATTTGTTTCAAGATTGTGGTTTTACCTATGCCACCCATCCCATATAAACCAATAATTCCTACTTCTGTTGCTTCAAGTAAGTTCCAGATCTCAAACAATGTTGATTCCAAGCCCACTGTGGGCTTAGATCTTATTGAAGATACAGGTTGATTAAAGGCCACCGCATCAAAAACTGCTTCACTCTTTAGATCAACTACTTGTTCAAGTTTTGCAGCCACTTGTTGACCAAACTTGTTGCTAGACCTGCAATTCTTGGAAAAGTAGCCTGCAAAGCACAGCTTTTGAACTTCTTGAGGACCATCTTTGATCAATTCCTCAGCTTCTGCTACAGTAGTTTCTGCCTTTGAAAGCCAGAGTTGAACTTCGTCGAGCACCTTTCCTCCTTGACTTTCATCAAGTTCAACCCTGCGCTCGACATCATGATTTAAACTTCTCAATTCCTGCAACGCAGCACTTAGAGCTATTAGATTCTCTTCAAGCTTCCATGTATAATTACCTTGTCCAGCACTGCAGTCCCAGCTACGAGAGACTGTGGGCTCTGCCGAGGCTGAGGTTGAGCACAAATTGCCCATGTTTTTATAAACAAAGAAGAAAAGAAGACTGCAATTTTGAGACAGGAATCATGAGAGATCATGCGGGAGATGGGTATTCATTGGAAACTGTTTAAGGGCAAAGGCAGTTTATGCAAATTTTGTGAGCTTACGAGATTTATCGAATATTTTGTTTATAAATTATTAAACAAATAAAAATTTTATTTTTAAACTCAAATCATATCTTATTCTTCATTAACGTAAAATTTACGACAATTACACCTGGATTGCCTTCACGCGCTTCTGATGCGTGCCAAGGATCACGCCATGCAACCAAAATTTCCCTTAGCTTTGATTCTAACTTGCGGAAGAAAAAGACACTGTACGTATTGTTACCCATGGACTACCGTATACGTATTCATCATCACATTACAAATTTTGTTATCTAAATGGTATCAAACTTTATTCTTATTTTTACAATTTTTTACTATCAAATCACTTAATTTATTAGTGTTTTGTATATCATAAAAATATTTTTATTATTTAAAGATTTAAAACCTATTCCGTCAATTTTTTTTATATAAAAAAAAAAACCTGTTACCTGTTAGGAGGTCTACTGAAATGCTCCGAAATGGAGCGCATAGCACACTTCCATTGGATTAAGGTGGCGTTTAGTACTTTACAATACAATGTGATTGTAGAGAAGATAACATTACAGTGTTTGGTATATAAGTAATGTAATGATTAAAATGCAGAGAAGATAACATTGCAGTGTTTGTTTTACTACTTTACAAGAAATGTAATGTTAATTTTCAAAACTACCCTTATATATTAAAATACAAGTTTAACATGTATTTTTTTATGGTAAATTCTGCAGTAAAGTTCAACTGGCTTTTAAGGCAGGATGGGTTTATGTACAACAATTATTACATATTATCAAAATATTCTATATCATCTTAATAACTTCCCTTATCTTATTAATGAGTTGTGTGTTTTTTTAGAGGAAACTAGTGATTTACGAAAGCAGACTCTGGAAGGGATGACAACAAATGTTGTACCTGCAACAAAAGTTGAACCAAAGAAGAACCTGCCCAATCTGGTGACTGTGGCAGCACCATCCAAACCAACTTACAGGTTTTCCTTGTGATATTTGGACAACTTACGGAGCAGAAGTTGTGGGATACAATAATCATTAACACATGATATTTGTTTCCACTGAGATTGCTTGATGAAGGGGGAGTGTTGTTTGGTGAATGGGGACAATGCTGCAGCGCCACACTCCCAGCGTTGCAACGTTGATGCTACTGCTTGGTGCATGGGACAGCGCTGCAAATGAAGAAGAAGTTGCAGACCCTAAACCCCCAAAACGATAATGAATAATGTTTGAAAGGTATTGTGAGTAATTTTTTTAAAAGATGGGTAAAATTATCCTTAAAGACATTATAGGGTGCAGTGTAATGTGATTGCATTGGTTTTGGATTGCAATCACATTACATCCCTTGACTGCAATGTGATTGCATTGCAATCTTACATTACAGTGTTCTGTTACAAAACAAACACTGCATTGTAATTTAATAAGCCACATTACAGGGAATGTGCTTTACATCCCTGATACCAAACGGCAAGTGTTTGTTAACATTCGCAGTCTTGTCACCCACTTACCCTTTTTTTTAATTAATTTTTATTATTTTAGGTGCTTATTTGCCTTTAATTTACTTGTCTTTGTTTCTAATAAATTGACGCATATAACAATTAACGCTTAGTGTTTTTGTCAAAACAGTTAATTCGATATGTATAGATTATTTATACATAAAATTTTATCCAGGAAAATATGTTCACGAAGCATATATTAAAATTTAGCATCCTTGATATGCTCATGAAGTATATAGCAAAATTTAAGATAAAATATTTAAATACTTTTAAGTTTTGATCAAAATTATACAAACGTCTATGAGATTGATAAATAAACACTCAATCTCAAAAGACTTTTTAGTACAAAATACATAAGTCTAACGATTAGTCAACTTGATGTGATAATATTTTTTTGGATAATTTTCCCCTCCAACATGTCAAAAATTACAATATTATATAAATATTTATTTTTTATTTTTAAATTTTTTTCTTTCTTTGAAAAAAATGTTGCCTTTTTCTCCCATTTGATCCACTCGGAACTAGCATGCTCGCTACTAAGGGAGCTTTCACACTCCCCTAGATCCCTTCGAAAAATGCCAAATCTAATGCTCAAGCTCAAGCCAGATCTGAAGCTACAAATTGTGTCAAATCAGGAGTTTTAGATTGCACCAGATCTGGCACTTCTCAACATGGAAGAGTGCCAAATCTGGCCATGGGATGATCGACATGCACGAGGGAGTGCCGCCAACTGGTCAATGTTTGAAAAAGAGAAAAGTTTACAGAAAGAGGAAAAGATATTTTAGTCTTTTCATTTTTTCTATTAATGGTGTTAAGACTTTTAAGGCAGAATGTCTATTTCTAAAACTAATGAACATCAGTATAATTTTGATTAAAATTTAAGAATATTTGAATATTTTGCCTTAAAATTTAGCATTTAGCTAATTTGAGAACAATTGTTTTTTCTCTTTAATTTATTAAAATAGTTAGGATGTTGAAGACAATATATTTTTATTAAATTATTCGAACTATTCTATTTGAAAACAAACTCTGTCATCAATACTGTACTGAAAAAATTAATTAAATCAAGTCAGATGAAAAAGTTAAAAAAGAAAGCAAAGAAAGAAAAGAAGCTATCAAGCACTAGAATAGAAAGTTAATCTCCTTAGTGTCTATTTGGTTTAACTTATTTTTAGTTTATATATTTCTTAAAAGTAAAAATTAGACTAAATACTATTTTGTGAGAAATTTTTTTAAAAAAAATTGTAACTTTTTTTTAAAGAGTAAATTTTTTTTAAAAAAAAAGCTTAAAAAAAACTCCAAATATGACCTTTCTCTTTTCTTTTTTTTTTTTTGCAAAAAAACCATGCCAACTTTTTAATAGAGTTATTTTTTTTCCAAAAGATCCTCTTTTAAAAAATACTCCTTCCTCTCTCCTTTCCCCTTTTCTGAAATTTGATTCCTTTTTTATTCCTCTTTTAGGGTTTTTTTTGTTCTTATAAAAATTAAGGGAAAAGAATACCTACAATTCAAAACTGCATCTAGGTATTATTTTTTCTTGCTCTCACTGTTTTGTTTTTCATTTTGTTTTCTATTGTTCTTTTTTTTTAGCTTTGAAAACTTTCTTTATTGTTTGATATTTCTCAGTTTATTATTTGATATGACAATTTTGTGATGTTTATTTGTTCTTAACTTCTTTCTAATGTATATAATATTTATTAATTATGATTGAAATAATTAGTCAAATAAGTTAATGGTTGTTGAGATACATTAGATGAAAATTGAGAAGTTAATATTTGTACTCGTTAGTACTAACTCAGTTTTAAAGAATTTTTTTCTTTTAGGTATAGCAATAGGCGGCATTATAAGAAAATTGAAATAGACTTTAATTCCTTTGGCAATAAGAATTACAAAATCCCTAAAATTTTTAGTAGTAAATTTCACATTTGAGTTGACAGTACCCAGTAGATGATGTGGCACTTCTAGACAAAATAAATAACCCATTAAGAAAATCAACAAAATTTGTCTAAAATAATGGAAAAAAATTTAAAAGCCAAAACCTTTTTGTTCATGGAGGAAAATTTTGTTGGTGACAACATCAAGACTTTGATAGACTTGCATGAAATTAGCGTTGGTGATTTCAGTAAGAAATGGGTTCCCAAATCAATAGCTAAAGTGCTTTTCCTAACCTAGTTGGACCTATTATTATAACCACCTTAGGCTTCCCTTATTCTTTTTTGGGTTCTGTTCCTTGTATGTAACATCAGTTTTGTGCAACTCCAAAAATTATAAATGTCAAGCCAATTTTTAAAAAATGACAACAAATTTTTTTTATATATTTTTCTTTTATCTTTCAGCAATTCATGATATTATAGGAAAAACTATATTTTTTTCACACTCATATTTTTTTATTTGGTTCAATTTTTTTTCTTGATTTGTTAGATACCCTTTATAATAATTTTAATCAAAATTAGAGTTTATATAAGTTGTTTTGCCAAACAACTTATCTATAAACAAGAGTTTATAAAAAGTAAATTTACCAAATAACTTTAACTTAATTTTAAAAGTTATTATTTTTTATAAGAGCTTTATAATAGTTTTTAAGTTAAAAAAATACCAAGCCAAATATGCTCTTAATCTGAATCATGCGGCTGCAAATAAAGAAAGTAGCTTTTGTCTCCCTCTTTCAATGTTTCTTATAAGAAGAGGAGTAGCTATCATCAAATCACCAAGATCTGGTCAGATTCCTTTCGTTTATAGCACTTACTAAAGAGTTTGCTCAACGTAAAAAAAATAAAACTGAGACACTTAATTGTAGGGGTCATTGAAGTTTAATAAAATTGATTATGCATCTATTATTGGTCCAGAATATTTTATTTTTGCCATACATGTAACAGAGACTATGACTAATACAAACACATTTTTAGGTGTTTGTTTTAATCCATACAAAGACTTTAAAAGCTTACTCACATTCTTTTCTTTCTCAGTTGACAATATTGTACCTTAATGTATATCAAAATGTCAAATAACACATCAAGGTATATATTCACATAAGTATCATTGTGTCTTTGTTGCACAATAGGAATGTAATATCAAAGATATTGAATATTTATTTTGCATCGTTATATGTTCAATGATAAAATAGAAATGCATTATATACCAAGATGTTATATGTACATATTGACACCATTGTACCTTCATGTATGATAAGAGTGTCATATACCCACACCTTGTATCTTTCATCATGCGAACCTTGATGGTATATTGTCATTATTATACTTTAATGTATAATAAGAATGCTACATACCTTCTTATTAGATGGACCTTGATGGTTTGTCTTTTATCACAACTCAATATGCTTTATTTTAGGATCTTTATCCTTTTCATCTTGTTTGTGACTTCATCTTGGTTGCAACAATCTTCTTCCATTTAAAGATGATTACTAAAATCCTTGAGAGGCATCTACTCTTTCTTATATTTTAGAAATTTCTTATTGTCTTTCCATGAGAGGAAGTTTGTTAAACACAAAAATAACCTCATGCATATCAAGATTA